ACCCCTTGTCTCTCGGGTCCTTTGGGACGCTCTGAGGAACCCAGACACTCACTCAACGCTAAAGGAAAGTTTGTGAAGAAAAGGGGCATTCAGAGACATTCCTCTCTTCCTCATCTGCAGAAGCCCCCAACAAAAACATATTTAACTATGACAAACATGATTCCTTTAGTGGCGAAAGAAAAGAAATTCACAAGCCTTTTGACGCTAAAAATATATCCTTCGTCCTCCTCAGCCTTCTTTAAAGAAGCTTTTCTCTTTCTGTGCCATTTCCCAGCCTGTCACTTGTCTCACTAGCTCCCATCCTGGGGCCAGATGAGTGCCCTCTCATAACGCCAAGCTCCTGATGATGCCATCTGGGCTTTTAATGTCGGGCCTTACAGCTGCAGCCCTAGCACCTACTTACAGACCATTCAGGTCATGCCCTGATTATTCCTCCATGTACATTATTTATTTACCATTCTTCTCTTCCTTCAGTGCGTTGTTAATTGCTGCTGCTTACTCCCATGCTCTCTTACTTGTGATTCCCCTGTGCTAGGAGGTCACATCCAGCAGTGCCAGGACTAGCACTCCTTTTTGTTCCTGTGCTTAACACACACAAGACAGCTTTTTCCTAATGGTCTATAGACTCAAACAGTCAACTTTTAGATGGGAATCAGTGAATATTGTGCAGTCAACTGGACTTGCACTGTTGTGGTGCAGGGGAAAGTGGTTGTCTTCCATGCTGGCAGCATCAGGAGAAGATGCTGAGCATGAATTGTCCAGCAGACTCCTCATTCATCCCTTCAGATCGGTCTTTTAGCAGAAAACCAAAATCAGTTGCGCTTCTTCCTCTTGAGTCTCAGAAAAAAAAATAGAGGAAGAAGCCATTAAAAAGAAAAAGTTACAGCGACAAAACTGATTCTGAACACGGTGCTTTTCTTTGTTCCGAATGAGGAGTCAGCATCTCTGATTGCACGTGTGAAAATTCCCCAGAAGTTTCCCTCAAATGTTCCATTACAGAGAGGCAACAGTGCTCTAGTAAAGACAGCCATCACATTTATGCTGATACTTGTTTATTTACTTCAATGAAGAGATCTGTTAGATCTTATCAGGCGTGACTGAATCACCCTCTACTACATATGTGTAGTTGGCTCTCTGAAAGATCAGCCCTCTGCAAACTGGAAATGCTGCAGACATCGGGCTGCAACGGGGCTTCACCCTGCAGGGATTCTCCACGCTCTATAGTTATCCTAAAGAAAGGACAACGTTCTGCATTGCCAGCTGACACTTGCTTCTTTTAATATGCAAGATGGCCATAACTCCTGTGTTGTCCGAATGTATTACACACAATTTACTGAAAAAGAATGTGTTCAGGCAACATAGAAAATGATCTCTGGAAGCGACTGCAGAGAGGTGGAGAGCAGCCAGATGCAGCTCTCCAGGAGCATGAGAGAGGACTCGCTGCTCTGGACAGAAATGTCTGGAGGATTTCTGGAAGGAAATAAATCCAGGAGGGAAAGGGCTCTATGAATTCAAATCGAGGAGGATAATGGCTCTAGGAAGTCCAAGACTGAAAAATACAAATGGGCATCACTACGAAATCCCCAGAGACAGCAAGGTTACATTCAACACCCAGCAGAGGCTCACTGTTAAATCTTATTAACTATATCCTTTTATGGCAGCAGACATTTTTGCCCACAAATTAGGGACCACAGCATTACAGTGCAAAAATCATCCATGTGCTGGCTGGTGGCTCTGGAGCGAAGTGTAGAAAGGAGAAAATTAAATTCTAAGAGAACCTTGTTCCTGTCATTTGGAAACCAGGAGTGACCAGCACTCTCCACAGCTCCTTTACAGCCCAGCTAAGGTGGGAAAAAACAGACAATCCATCTCCTTCTTAGCAAACATTTGTACAAGCTCTTCTTGCCTCTCCCCACTATGGTAACATCTGCGAACAAACAAGGCATGAAAATGGCATTTTATCTGCAGATATCTTAGGTGGAAGCTAAGGATGGACAGCTTCAACAAGGAGATGTCCCTTCATATCTTACTGCTCTGACATACAAAGCTCATACATTAATTTTTCATCTCTCCCTAGCAGTTGATTAAAGAGACATCTTACCCATTTTGCTTCTTACCCTTTTCTGTCTTGGGCTGGGTCCTATCTTCCTGTGCTTTGGCAGCTGTTTTTCTCCTCGTCTGCCCATTTGCCTGCTGTTGCCTTGCTAATTATTTTTACAAGGTTCAATAATTGATGCAATTTTTCCCATTTTTCATCTCCTTGATCAGTACCGTCTGGAAAGCAAAGCAGCTTCACAAGCAGCTGTGCTCAGTTGGCTGCCTATCCACCTCCTGCGGAGAGGAATCATTGCCAGAACAAGCTCTTGAGACTTAATCCTCTATTTACCTTTCTCCGGACTATGCAGTGTCACCAGAGGAGCTGCTTTTGAAGTGAAGGGCACTTAGCAACATGTAGCAAACCAAGGGTTTGATGTCACAGATAAAAATAGCATCTCAGAAGTGGCCATTTGTGTTGTGCTTTGAACAAAAGTTATCTGCAGCCATCTAGCTCCATTCCTCACAAAAAAAAAAAAAAAGCCTCTGAAGAATTTCTCCTTCTACTTAATAGCAGACAAAGCAGAAACACTGTAATGATTTCCAATGAAAAATAAACTTTCTCTTTCCAGCGACGACCAAAGCTGACCAAAGCTATCAGAGGATGCCCGGGGCATTTCTTTAAAGCACACGGCGTTAAGCATGAACACGGATTGCATGCTAAAGTGAACATAGATCCTACACGGTGGAGCAGCTCCCTCCGCCGTACAGGCTATTGAGCAACCAAAGGTAAATTGTGAATATAATTAGGATTGTGGGGGTCCTAAAGGGCTTCATGCGACCGCCGGGACCCTGGTGAGCACAGGGCTTGGGGTGTCCTAGGGGCCTCCATGCAGACCATGGGGCCTCCATGCGCATGGGCCTTTCAAGCAGCCCATGGGTGTCTTTTGTCATGGGGCTGCAGGGAGCCTGTGGGCATTCATACGGACCCCCTGGGTCTACCTACCCACCACGGGCCCACAGGGGCCCTATGGGACTTAGTGCTGCCCCCCAGGACATCCATGTGTATGGGGACCGGAGAGGCCCCACAGGCTTCCGTGCAGCCCCTGGGGACATCTGCGCACATGGGGCCTGGAGGGACCCTATGGGCCTTCGTGCAGCCTGTGGGGTGCTCCGAGGACATGGGGCCAGGGGGGGCCCTACGGGCCTTTGTGTGGCCCCTCAGGGCCGCTGTGCACGTGGGGTCGGGGGCTCCTGGGTCTCACTGGGCACACAGGACTAGGGGAGCCCTACGGGCCTCCATGCGGCCTCCCGGAGCCTCTGTGTGCAAGGGGCCGGGTGGCTCCACGGGACTTTGTGTTACCCACCGGGGCCTTCAAGTGCCCTGGGACTCCTGGGGCTTCGTGCGGCCCAGCAAGGCCTCTGTGTGCTCAGGCCTGCCCTTAGGGACCTTGTGTGGCTCCGCGGCTCCTCCGTGCGCACGAGGCCAAGGGGACGATACCGGCTTTCGTGCGGCTCCATGAGACCTACCCGTGCATGGGATGGAGGCTCGGGGAGGTGTCACAGGCCTTCATGCAGGACCCCAAGGCCTCCACACACACGGGTTGTGGTGAGCCCTACCAGCCATCGTGTGCCTCCCTGGGGCATCTGTGGGCCTTTTTGTGTGCTCGAAATCTCAAAAACTGCTTTTCCTAGTTTTTGAAAAATATCTCTTGCCCTGTTTGAAGTCTAAGCAATGAAAATGGTTACATCTCTCAGCATCATTCTGTAAGTCAAAATATCACTTCAGTTCGCTACACAAATATAGCTCTCACTGAAGCCTAATGGAAGAGTCAGTCCACATCAGTCACACCGCTTCACTGTTTAGGAAACAGGAGATATATGCAGACCAAGTACTTCTAATGATATTGCTGACCAGAGGTGTTTGAGATGGTTATTTTTTATGAGAACATGGTATCTTGTAATCTTCAGCTTGTAAAAACAAAGTTTATCCTGTACAGATGGTTCCAAATTTCATATTCATTGGTAGGTATTGACTTCATGCCCACTTTTCTGCATTTTCGCTTCCTGCTGTTGACTGATCTTCACTTAGCTAAGCCCAGGGTGCCAAGTGATGTTACAGTATTAGCCTGGACCGCAGTCTATGCTAGAAATAAAAAATGGAGCTTAAATTGCGGGCTACCACTGCCCTCTATTGAATATAGAAACAGAAGTGCACAAAAACATGGGAGTCATCCCAACAGGAACACAGGAGCAGAGTAATTGCAAGAAATATTCACACGGGTGACACCTGGGTCCTCTGGATCTTTAAGAAAAAAATCTGATTTTTATCATAATCCTGTGGCTGTGACTATGGGTCCACTGCTTATTCCTTGAGCAACTTATGCATTGTCACTTTTAGTTTTCATTTTCTCTTTAGAATTTGTCTGCTTTTCAGTCCTGTTATGAGCAATAACCTGGGTTTCCAGCCCGGCGGCGAAGGCAGCCCATCCTTTGAACTAAGCTGTAGATTAATGATTAATAAATGCAACAAGTGGCTATGCTCAACACAGACATATCGCTCAAGAGCCAACTTTGCCTCATTTTTTTAATTAAATCTCAAAGAATCAAAACTCCACAAGTTCCCGTTCAGCTACAGCATCCGCACTGCAAGTTTCAAACGCTCGGAACGGTTGGAGATATTTTTAAAAATGTTGTCAAGTGAGGTATGCAAGGTGTATTTGTTCATTCTGTGAAGCGAAGTGTGTCATTTTTGATAATTTTGATGTTTCCGTATCTTTTATTTTTATTTTCTGTGCCGCGCGCCTCCTGCAGCGACACCCGCCTCACGCGGCCGGAAGTGACGCTCTCCTCGCCCCGGCAGCGGGGCGGCCCCGTGGCGGAAGGGGCGGCCGGCGCCGCCATCTTGGCTGGGAGCCGCGGTC